AGATGGTTTTTTTTCAGTTTGGTTCGTCGTTTTTCCTCTATTATTTGTTTAAAGATTTGTGAACGATAAATTCTTCGCCCTCATCATTGCGATCCAAGTTTTTATTTTTTTTGGTTTGGCTAGTATTTATGGACATCAAACCGGCACATCAAGATAAATTTCTCGAATTGACCAATTGTAATCATCATCGATGAAAGTAATGTGAGAGGGATGTAAAAAAGATATTTGGGGAAAGATTTTTTTTTATTCTGGTCGATCGGTTTATAATCTCTATAATCTTTTGTTCAACTTGTTTACATTTTCTTCAAACTAAAAAAAATTCTTTGTTGTTGTTCCATTGTATCGAGTGAATGAATGAATGAATGAATGAAGCGAAGAAGAAATTCTTATTCTTTTTTCACACTATTCTCTTTTTTTTACTAGCCAATAGTCATTTTGATTATTATTATTATTATTATTATTTAAGTCACAAGTTGGTTATAGTCATTTCAGTCAGTCAGTTTTTGTTTTGTTTTGTTTTTTGTTTATTCGGTTCATTCATTTTGAACTGTTTTAGGTTAGCTAATAATAATAATAATGGTTAGTTAGTTTGTTTGTTTGTTTGTTATTTTTGCACATTTTTTAGTTTGTTTGTTTAATTTTGTTTGATTTGTGATCGGTTTGTTGGAACAACAACAACAACAACAAAAAACTGTCAGTAACAAACTAATATAATAAATATTGGCCAAAAACGGATTTTTTGGGTTTGAAATGACAAAAACTTCAACTTGAAAATTGGCAAATAAAATAGACATATAATTTGATGATGATGATGCTAAAAGTAATAATTTTTTTGGTGATATATTTCAACTTTGATGACAATCAATGATGACAATATTGGCTTAATAATAATAATAATAATATGATTTAAACCAAACTAAAAATATTATGAATTTCATCCATATTCTGATAGTAATAATGATTTATAAGTAGAATGAATATAGCCAAAACAAAAAAACAAACAAAAAAACAAAAACAAAATTCTAGTCCATTCTAGTTTGTAGAATCTATTTCTGTTTTTTCAACAAAATAATTCTTGATGAACAACAAGCAAAAAAAATTATCATAATAGCCTTAATAGAGAGAAAGAGAACGAAATAAGAGAAAATGTTTCTTATTGGCATCGTTTTTTTCTTTCTTTATTATTATTATTATTATTATTGTTTTTCATTATAATAATAATAATTTTTCTGTTGTTGTTTTTTTAGTTTTTTTTCTTCTAGTTTTTCTAATGATAATAATAATAATAAATATCGAATGAATGAATGAACAGAATATGGAAACAAATGATATTCTATCCATTCCATCAGCACACCCACACACAAAAATTTAATAAATAATAATGAATAATAATGAAAAAAAAATGAGGGAGAAAAACAAATTCCAGATATTCTTTTGAATTTTGATTAAAAACAAAACAAAACAAAAATATGGATGACATTCTTGTGATTATATTATTCAATAAATAATTGGATTCTCTGCATTTTCTTTTCATTAGAAATGTAAAAAATGTTGATTGCATGCCCTGTTTTTTTTTAATATTCATTCATAATATGATGGCCATATTATGCACACACACACACACACACACACAAACAAACACTGGATGTTTATTTCCAAAAGTCAGTTTGTTGTTGTTGTTTTTTTGTTGTTGGTATTCTTTCATAGCTTTCATGTAAATAATGAATGAATGAATGAATGGATAAACAACCAAAAAAAAATATAAAGAGATGGCTTTTTTTTCATCATCTATCAATCATACTTTATTTTCAAATTGTTTTTCTTTTCGAGAAATTTTTGTTATCACCGGGAATTGGAAAACTTTTTTTTTAATCGATTCATATTTTTGGTTGCTGTTGTTGCCGATGATGATGATGATGATAATGGATATTTGATTGAAATGATTGAATTTTTGTTCTCTGTCTCCTTCGTTCTTTCCTTTCTTTCATTTTGATTATTACAAAGACAGCAGCAGCAGCAGCCGAAAAACTGAAAGAATTTGCTTCCGGATTCCTTAACTTTCTCTAATTCATATTCATCATCATCATCATCATCATCGTATGATGACAACAATCAAATTTTAATCCTTTTCTCTCTCTCTCTCGCTCTACTGTATCAACTACATTGTTTTTTTTTCATTTTTTCTCTACTCTTGGATTGTATGTGTATAATAAAAAATAATTATTGTGGTCTCTTCCACAAAAATAATAATAATCCCAAGCAAAAAAAAAACGGTGCTATTCGATTATACACAACGCCCTATATGACTGAAAAAAAATGATTGATAATTTATTGACAATATTATTATTTGACAACAAACTAAAACCAGATATAGACGAAAAAAAAGGGAATATTCCTCTTATGACATTGATGTGTGCATATATTCCATGGAACAACGCGTTGAAAATGTTTAATCATTTTTTTTTAAATTTGGTGTTTGAAAATCAATCAACGCCATCTATGATGTTCCAAAAGCAACGATATTATAATGATTTTCGTTTTTTTTTCTTTCAATAATTATTTCGAGAAAAAAAAATCATCATTTTTCAAAATAATTCTCTTTCTTTTCCCCCGCAAAAATAGATTTCATAAAAGATTTTTTTTTTTGGTTCAATTAATGAAGTTCATAACCACCAACAATAACCATTTTTTATTAACGATTCTTGTTCATATTATGATGATGATAATGATGAGAATCGTCAACATTATCTATTGTTATATGCGTGTGTGTACGAAGAATTTATTCAAAACATATAGAAAAGAAAAAATGAATGTTAAAAAAAAGTGAATTTTTTTCCAAATTAATGAATATGAAAATCATATGAACGAATTTATTTAAAATAGAAAAAAAATTTTTATAAAAAAAAATGAAGATTAATGGATTTAATGAAAAGAAACATTTCTATATATGTTTTTTTAACATTAAATTATTATAATAATAGATTTTATGTAATACTTAAAAAGAATAATCTTGTTACTGGAGAATGAGTGAGAGAGAAAGAAAAGCCAAATCATTAAAACAGAATAATAATAATTTTTCTTTTTTTTTGTAAAAAAAAATTTTAATAAAATAACAATAATTTTTTTTATTTCATTTTAGAAAAAAAAATTATAATAATAATTAATAATTAAATGTTTGATAAACTAATACCGAATAAGCTAATACAAATAGTAAACTATCAAGAAAAAATGTTAAATTTATAGTGCGTAATTGATAGATTTTTAGTTTAAAATCTTGTCCATATAATTCATTCAATTCCATGATGGTTATTTTTTGTAGAAAAAATTTAATTTGTTTAAAAATTTTTATATATTTTATCAATAATGATCGTTGTCTTGCAGATGTTAACGATAATAACAATGTTTCTTCATCAATCGAATTCTGTTGTATGATTGTTTCATTTTTAATAATAATTTCAATTATTTTTTCAATTAATCTATTGATTTTAATATCCATACGAATAATATAAATAAAATATAACCAAATTGTTATTGTATATGATATATTCATTGATGTTATACTTCCATTATTTGTAATAAAATCATTAATTATAATCAATGTATCTAATATATAAACTGAAAAATGTATCATCAATGGAAATGATAGAATTCGATTTGCTATACGATTATGATTAGCTAATTGTTCAATCTGTTTAATTGATGATCGATGTACAATATTAATTTCAATCATATTTACATTATCAATAATAATTTGATTTTCTAGTATTTCATCTAAAACATATATAGTACCTTGTTTAATATAATGTATTATAAACCAAAATATCAATACATTGATTGTCATTGTAATTCCTGTTATAAATTGTAATAATGAAATCCAAATACTTTGACAACATGAATTTGATGTTATTGTTGGAAATTCAAATATTGTTAATAATAATAATATAAATATTATTATTCGTATTACGTTTATTGAATTTGATTGTTTTTGATAAATTAAATTAAATTGTTCAATATTCATTAGTTTAACTAGATGATGTTGTTTTATATAAATAAATATTGTATTTATAATAAATAAAAAAAATAAATATTTTTCAAATAAATTTATAAGCAATCGACTTAATATTTTCATATCTTCTCGTTTTAAATTTTCAGTTTCAATTTCATCCCAATATGGATTCCAAAATTGTAAACAAATAACGACAGCTATATTTATGAAAATATTTATAATTATACGTCGTATACGTTTCCATTTGGTTGGATATTTTTCTAAATTTTCTAATTGACATCCAAAATGTCTTCAATGAATTAATTAATCAATTAATTAATTATTTGATTAATAATGATTTTAAACAAACATTACCCAAAATAACGAAGAAACCAATCCAATAGATAATTTGTATTTTTCATTTGATTATTCATTTGTATGGTATTCGTTTATTTTTTCTTCTAAATGGACACAATAATCATTGATTGATAAAACAGAAATGATCAACTAGACTGATGTGATCTATTATAAAATATATTGTGTTTTTGTGTTTTTGTGTTTCAAAATAATCATTATAAATCGATAAAATTTTTTTTGGCTGTTTGTAATTTGTTGTCAACAATTTCATTTATATATTATCATTTACATATATTCAATTGATCAATCAAATTATTGTTATTGTATAAATGTTTTCATAATTCAATATTAATCAAATATGATCGATTAATCGATCTATTGATCGGTGGTATTTTTTGAAAAAAAAATGAAACCCGCCAACAAATTAACGAACACCAAAAAAAACACATGCGTATTTTGAATTTAAAAAAGAAACATCCAAATAAATTAACAACAACTATATATACCATTAATGGTCGATAAATGTAGATTTTGTTTACCATTTTTATTATTATATAACACATGTGTGTAAAAAGTGTGAATTTTTCTTTTCTTTTCTTTTTTTTCGTTTGAGCAATATTATCAACATTTTATAGAGATTACTTGTTTTTGTTCATTTGTCCTTGTCCATTTTTCTGTTTTTATTGAAAAAATTTGTTAATTTTTTCCATTTGTTTTCCAATAACAAAGGATTCATTGATTGAATACGCAAAGAATCATTCATCACCAAATAAAAAATGCGTGTTTCTGTACTGGAAATATCGGCTCAATTGGAAAATGTTACCAATCTTACGATATCATCACAATATGAATATCATATAAAAGTATGTTTTCTTTTTTTGTTTTGTTTTGTTTTTGTCAATTCTTTTTTAACATTTGTTTTCTTCTTCAAATTCAAAAGTTTAAATGTAATAATTGTGACACAGAAACGGAAAATTTTATGACATTTTCCGATGATAGTAAAGTTCCATTAATGGGTGGTAAATCATTTGTCAATCTAATATTTAAATGTAAAGTTTGTTCAAGACCATCAAATGTTTGTAAGTATCGTTTGTTTTATTGTAATTTTCAATTGAATCTCTCTCTCTTTTTTTTACTTTAATCAAAAGCTATTATTGATGGATCATTACGATCATATCTAGCTGAAGATTCAACAAATTTTAAACCATTAATTGAATTTGATTGTCGTGGTTGTGATCCAATATTATTTCAACCAATTAATCGTTTTCAATGTACAAATATGGATAATACAACAGAATTTAATGATGTTGATCTAAGTGAATTAAATTGGGCCGATTATGATGAACGTACAAATGAATCAGTTGGTATTTATGATTTTAAATATAGATTTACAGCTATTAAAAAATCAACAAAATGAATTCAAATCAATCAATCATCATCATCTTTAAACAAGCAATAACATCATAGTAAAAAAAAATTCTATTTCTGTTTTTCCGTTAAAAAAAAAAAATAATACTTGTTTTCATCAATTTTTATCCCATTTCATTTTTTTTACTCGTAAAACAATAAAAATTTCATTTTTTTATTGATAAAAAAAATTTAATGCAAAAATTATTTATAAGGATGTAATTTTGAATTCTACACAACCGGTGTGTGTGTGTGTGTTATTTGTTATGTATTCATTCTTTTAAAAAAAACATTAATGAGTGTAATATGGTATATAAACGTAAGATAATTTTTCAAAGGTGGTATTAGCTGTTATTTAATTAGATTTCAATACGAACAAATTGTTTATCATCTCCATCATTATTATCTAATTCATTATCATCATCAATATTCAATACTTTAATATCGACATCATCAACATTATGAAATACATTAATACCGGTTAAACTTTCCAATGATTTTGAATCATTAATTGATTCATAAAGAAATTTTCTTTTATCATTACGATAATTATCAATAACTTTATCCGAACATGCAATACAATATTCTAATCTTGGTGTACTTGGTGTCATCTGTTCAAATACTGAAAGAAAACCACGACATTCATGCGGTATAACACCCAATAATGATTCAATATCTAAAAGATCTATATCAATCAATTGTTCACCATTCAATTCGGACATTTTCTTTTTTATATTATAATCATCATGAAATCGTGTCATAGCTGGTGCTAAAGGTCTAATTTTTAAAAAAAATTTCATAAAATAAATGAATAAACCAATGTAAATAAATAATTACCCGGCTGGATGTTGTAGAATAGACATTAATAATTCGACAGCAAATCCGGAAGCAATCATTGAAAGTCCAGGTCTAGTTACTGTACATTGTTGATCTAATGTACGATCTTTGGTCGAATCAGACGGTGCAAAAACATCGTTACAAAAATAGCATCCAAGCTGTGTGCCCAATAATATTGGTGTCATTGTTGTTGAGCCTGTTTGTTTATCGTTATTATTAGTATCGGGAAATAATCGATTAAAAACTTTGGTCTGTTTTTTATAAAGTTCAATCCATTTTGATTGTTCATCAAACTTATCATCCAATCGTAAACGTAAACCAAAACGTTGAACAAGAAATGAATCAAATCCAAGTGCTACATTGATGATAATCTGTTGATTGAAAAACATGAAAAAATTTGTTATTTTTTTTACCAAAATTAAATTAATCATGCCTTATGTTTAGATGTTGCAATCAATGTTGGTAACCATCGACTTTCACGTGTATCGGTCATCAAAAACACCACATCCGTTTCATCAATTAATTTTTCCAAAATTTCAACGTCATTCATTTCCTCTTCAATAGCTGTAATAATTTTTGATGAATTTCAACACAAAAAAAAAACATCATGCGACAAAAAAAAAACATACATTTTTCAAACAAATGTCCAGGCATTTTGATACTTAAATCAACTCCTTTCGAATCTATAGACGGATTTATCAGCCGTAATGCTATAGCGGCAGCCTTAGCTTTTGATTGAGCACCACCAATAGCATCCTGATAGGTATACAATGATTGTCGTGCAGGATTCGAAAAGGAAACATTTTTATTATCAACCATAACTATATGATTAATACCCCATGCGACCAATGCACGTGCTACATTACAGCCAAGCGTACCTGAGCCAAGCAATAAACAACGGGTATTTTTAATTTTGTCCAATTCAAGATTTTGAACCAAACGCCATTTCATTAGTTTAAGATTTAAATATAATGCATCGGTAGCAATTATTTCTGGATTTAAAGTATTACCACAATTTACTTGATTTGGTAATAAACGATTATTTAATTTTTTATTTCGTTCCCAACCAAGTGCATTCGGAACATAAGGTTTCGAACTATCAGATGAATTATTATAGAATTTGTTAACATCTTCCAAAAAACCATTTAAATATTGATCGGATGATAATTTCCTGTAATTCCATGGTAACATGGAAATATGATGTATAAAAAAACGATTAGATATTTTATCAAACCACTGTTGTTTCAATGTTGATTCAGATTGATAATGACGTGGTATTGAAAATGTTCCAATCAATAAATCATTATTAAACAAACATTGTTTAATAAACCATAATATTATATTATTGTTTTTATAACGTTTAGTCAATTGTGCTAAACGTATATGAATATAGACCAAATAGTTTCGTAATAGCCAACCTGGATAATTAGAATATGAAGAAAAATCACCAAAAGTAAATATGATTTTTATATCTGGTGTTGATTTATATAATTGTTCAATAAAATCTAATGACCATAAACGATTGAAATGAACAATTTCAACATCATAGTTGGCAAAATAAACACCATCATCATTATCATCATTTTTTTCAATATTTTTTAACGGTTTTGCAAGAATTGTAAAAAATAATCGCTGTTTCATTGGAATTTGTTTGAATGATTGCCATAATTGATCCGTTTGTTTATAATTAAAATAATATTTCCATTGAGCATTTTCTTGTGGTAAACGAAAACATTGCGGTGGAAACGATAAGGATGGATAAGCATTCCAAAAATTAAATTCATATGATTTAAAATCACCATAAACAATCATAAAAAATCTTGCAAGATAAAATTCTAATGATGAATCAATTTGTTCATGATTAGTTTCATCATTTAATGCATCCCATATCTTTTGGTTGTTCAAATCGAGAAAACAAAAAACAAAAAACAACATTATTCAATAGAAAAAATATTAACCAAATTTCAAAAAAAAAGAATACATACCAATTTTCCCTGTTGATTAATAAGCATTGATTTATCACTATTTTCAAATTCTTCACGTGTATTGAAAATAATTAGCTGACCATTTAAATAAAATAAATCAATATCGCAATCATTTTGTTCACGTTGATAGCAAAGTTTTTCATATGTTTCAAATGTTTCATAATTTAATGTAACAAGTCCAGGTATATTTGTTTGTAATGAAAATGATGGATAAATATTAATGGGAGTTGTTGATAATTTAAGTATATCCAATTTAATACGTTTTATTTCAAACCAAAATGATGAATCAATTAATGTTGAAAATGGTAGAAATTCAAGTAAATATCTTTTATTAATATTATTATTACTGCCATTATTTGAAGCCATTATTTTGTTGATTATAATGAATTTGTTTGATTTGTTTTGATTTGATTTTATTCTTCTCAATTTGTAATGATTGAAATCACGAAATCAAATGAATCATTTATCAATCATATCATCACCCTTATCATAACGATTATCATTTTAGTGATTATCATTTTAGTGTGTATTTTTTACTAACTATAGTTTGTTTACTTGTTTAATGATGATGAGTAAATTACTCTCTCTTTTTTTTTAAAAAAAAAGAGTTGATTTTTTTTATAACTTTAAAAACTTATAGTTTGTTTTTTTGTTTGTTTCTTTTGATTTATATGTATATACAAACAATCTGAGAGTAAAGAAAATGAGAGAAATCTAACGGTAAAAGATGGAAATATTGAAAAATGAATGAAAAACAAAAATATCCAAAACAACCAAAGAGAATGTATTACAACTACATTATATAATGTATTTTTCTTCTAAATATTTGATTTTTTGTCCTGTTTTTTTTTGTTGTTGTTGTAGTTTTTCTAATTAATTTTGTTTGTGAAAAGAAACGTTTGCTTTTTTTTCTTAATTTGTTGAATTAAAAATACCTTTTTTTGTTTTCGTTTTTGATCTGATATTATCTTTTTTGGATGAACCTTTTTTGTTGTTGTTTCGTTTTCATGATAAAAAATTGATTGTTTTTTCCCCCTTACCGAACAAATAAATGTGCCACTACCATCACATAAGTTGACCAATAATTTTTTTTTCTTCAAACATTTTGTTTTGCTTCTACCTTTTTCAACATTTTCAATATTTTTTATTTTTTGCCTTTCTCCCTCGACACGCGCACCAAGGTACCGAAAAAAAATTGAGCAAAAAAAAAACATACGAATTGAGCAAGTTAGTTAATGAGTGAGTGAGTATAGCCAGCCTTTTTTTCCTTTCATTTCCCCCCTTCAAAAAAAAATACCTCCATATAGCCTTCCTAGCCTTTTATTTCGTTTTTATTAAAATAACTAAATTTTTCTTTCTTTTTTTTCAATTTCAATTTCAATTTCATATGGTCCCCTAGTCAATTGATCCACCATCATTCTTTGTATGTATACGTGTATGGTGTTTTTATATGAAAAAAATTTTTTGTTATATTGGAACCAAAAGCCGGCCTAATTTCATTCCAAACAACAACAACAAAAAAAATTATTCAAAAAAAATTCGATTGCAACAATAAACTAATTTGATTTTAATTTTATAAAAAGGTAAAAGTTTTTTTTTCTTTGAATAATTATTGATTGTTTTTATCGATTAACTTGTTTTTCACTTTTTTTTTTGTGAATTGAAAATTTAGAAAATTGTTCGAAAAAAAACGACAACAAAATCAGATGACCGACATGATTTATTCATTTATATTTTAAACTAACAAAATTTTTGGTTGTTATGAACAATATATATATCGAATTCTCAACATTTTTTTTCCAATCAATCGAACAAAATTCAAAAGAAAAAGAAAACAGACGATGGCTACCAATCCGGGAACATCAGTACAGCCAGTACAACATGCAACAAAAAATATAACAACCGATTTAAGACAACGAGTATTAAATCATATGAAAGATACGATTGCTAAAACTGGTATTAATTTTGTACCGGAAGATATTGAAAATACTTTTTATCAAAAATATCCTACACCGGATGATTATTGGAATCATGCACAAAATTTTATCAAAAGTGTTATGGCTCGAAAACTAATGCAACAACAACAACAACAACAACAACAGCAGCAACAACAACAACAACAACAAATGATGAATAAAAATGTCATTGCATTACATAATAATATGGGCGGGGGCGTTGGACAAAAACCAGTAGGAACACATATGATGATGACTACAACTGGTCATCTTAATGATTCGATCCATCATCAACAACAACAGCAGCAGCAACAACAACAACAACAATCTCAACAAATGATGAATGCGAATAATTCACAGCGACCAACTTCGGTTACAATGAATAAAATGATGACAATGCCAGCATCAAGCGGTTTTATCAGTAACAATCAACAACAACAAAATGCAAATGTAACGGCTATAACAAATCAACCGGCAAATGCTGTTCTCAATGCTAATTCACAAATGATGACAATGGCCGCTAATAAAGCCAAAATAATGGTCAGTAATCAACAACAATTTCAGCAACAGCAAGCAAATCAACAACAATTGGCCGCAATGCAAATGCAACAGCAGCAACAGAATCAAATGCCTGTCGGATCAAATCAACAACCGACCATGACATTACAATCGCAACTTCAGCAACAAAATACAGCAAACGCTCGAATGATGCAACCAAATCAAATGATGAATCAACGAATGATAGCTGCAACAAATGCTAATGCTAACCAAATTCGTCAAATTAATACAACATTGAATAATAATCCAAATATACAGTTACGAATACCTCGACAACAATCACAGCAACAAGCGCAATTGGTCGCAGCTAATATCCGACAAACTGTTTCTGGACAAACTCACATGATGAATACTATTGGTCAGCAACAGCAACAAACATCTCAGCAACAACCAGGATCGGTACCGATACTTGTTCTTCAACATCAACAACAGCCTCGACCAATTAATACACAACAGATTCAGATTCAAATGCAGCAACAGCCACAAAGTGGCCAGTTTCAGGATCAACATCCTACTTCATGTATGACATCGACGTCCGGTATTCAACAACAGCAATTCATCAATAAAACCAATCAAATGCAACATGTCAATGTTAATACAGCCAGCATGCAATCGACTATGCCTCAGCAACAACCTCAACAAGCGCAAAATTCTGCTGGAAACATGGCACAGACTGCACAATTTACTAATCAATTTGGGCAACAAACCCAAATTGTGACCGGATCTTCAACCGGTGGTCAAACGTTAATGTCGCATCAACAGCAACAACAGGCGATCGCTGCTCGGCAACATCTGCAACAACAACAACAGGTATCAGTACAGTTAGGTCCAGGTAATCAAGCAACAATGATGACAACGGCTAACACTTCGATACCTTCAAGTGATAATAACGTGATGGGTGGCTCCGTTGGACCAACAAATAAAGGTTTGCTTTCGGCTCAAATACTTACAGCAAATCAGCAGCCACAATCACAACCATCGCAACAACAGCAACCAATGCCAGGTGTTGGAATACAACAAACACAACCGATGGGCGGTCAACAACAGCAGCCTAAAATGTTGGCAACAAGTGGACCAATTCTTGGTTCTGGTCAAGCAACAATGATTCCCGCTAATCATCATGCTCATCATCATGGATCACCGGTCAATTCTAATTTTATCGGTACAGGCAGTCCAGCAGCACCTCAACTGATGCCATCACCAGCTAGTCGTCCACCACATTCGATTGAAACGCCATCACCACAGAATCAGCAATTAAACACTCCCGGATCTGTATCATCAACACAACCGACTCGTACAAAGGAACAACAATTATTACAAGCATTGCAAAAATATAGAGAACCATTAGAAGAAGCTATTCAGAAAAATGATGTGAATGATTCCCTTAATGATAAAAGAAGAAATATTCTTCGGATTGTGACTGGCGCCACTCCTGCATCATTAGAATTGTTGGAACGATGTGAAGCATTACTTGAATCAAATGCTAATTTTTTGGCAAATAAAAATTTGTTAGCCAATAATGGAACCATGAATAAAATGGATAATCATAGTACAAATCTAACCGATTCGCCTTCATCATTGAATAAATCTCGACTGGCAGCGGGCAGTATCATACCTACAATTTCTTCAATGTCCATGTTAGGTCAATCAGGTTCATCGACTGTACATGCAAGAATGCAAGATACTTGTCAGCCATTATTGGATGCTGTTACACGTAATTTTCGTAAGCCTACATATTTTCATGTTGCACATAAAACATTTGGTCCTGCATTATCTGTATTAAATCCTGATCCATATCTTTTGGCACATCGTGTTAATATCAGTGGTAATTACATTTGTTACAGTAATGTTTCTGGAAGAACTATGATGAAAAAAGGTGGCCTTATTGATCGCCGTATTGAAACATGGAAACGACGAATGAATCGCCTTTCACTGCGAAATCGTAATGGTAAATCATTACCCGATATATTACAGGGTGAAATTGCTCGACTTGATATGCGTTTTAAAGTACAAGCATTATCAACACGTAGATTTGGTTCATCTAAATGTCAACATTTACTTTGTCGATTAGATGATAGTCGTTTACCATCCGTACCGCCTATCGTTGTCTATATACCTGAAGATTATCCCGATGTTCCACCACATTGTGAACTTGAATCCGAACAATATAAAAATTGTCATTTTTTCTCAAAAATTTATTCAAATTTTGGCTGTAATATTCGACATATGCCAATGAGATATTCATTTACATTATTATTACATATTTGGGAACGTAGTATACAACAGGCAATGTGCTCGATATTGGATACATCAAGTCCATTATTATCATCATCAACATCATCATCATCAACATCATCATCATCATCATTGTTGACATCTACATTATCATCATTTTGTCCACAGCAGCAGCATCAAGATCAATTGATGAACAATAAAAATATAACGGATGTTAATGGCCATAATAATAATAATAATGGTGATAATCATGTTGATAATAATAATATGATTATCAATAATAATAATAATAATAGTCTACCAATAACCTCTACAACTAAAAACTAAATTATTTCGAATGAAAAAAACAAAAAAAAAAAAAAAATTTGGCTAAAAGAATAATCAAATATTCGAAACAATAATTCTCATTCAAAAACAGAAAGAAAAAAATTTTATCACAAAAAAAACAAACACTAAAAACTCGATTAACTCGATATACAAAATAATTTTTCGGTGCAATCATCAATTAATATTGGAATTAATCAATTTTTTTTCTGATTGCCATTTTTGACTTCTTTTTTTGCCTCATCAATCAAATGATATTACACAAACACTTATTGTTTCTTACTTCTTTTTCTTCTTTTTTTTGCTACTCAATTCAATTGAAAATTCCTACAAATACTGATTGATTCAATGAAGAAAATGAATTTTTTTTCTTTTTGTTTCAATTTCAAATATTTTAGTTTATATTCTTCTGATATTATTTTTTCTTTTTCTCTGATATGCTACATTTTTTTTAATTATTATTTAAAAATTTCTTAATATTTGTTTACATATTACATATTATAATTATATAATTTGCATGTTTCACAATTTTTTTTCTCCCCTCCTCATTTTGTTACTTACTCTTTTCTATCTTGCTTCCGCGAAATCCATACACTATGAAAAACAGATATTACAAACACTCAATAGGATTTTTTTTTTTCGTTTCTTTTCTTTATTTTAGAATGAATTATATCCCCTTTTTTTCTCTCTCTTTCTCAATTTGTTTGTAATTCTTTATTTTATTCATATTATTATTATTATTGTAATATTGAAATGAATTAATACAAATTTTCTTCTTTATCACTTAATTAATTTAATTTAATGATGATGAAAATATCTGTGAATAAATTTTGAATTCAAATTATTTTGTTGTTGTTGTCTATTTTGATTCTGATTACACAGTTGGGTATCATTAGCTTTTCATTCAGTTTTTTTTTGTACTCGAATAGTATTCATTTTTTTTTATTATATATCAAGTCCAAATGAAATTTTTTGTTTTCTGTTTCTTTAAATTAAATAGATGTTATTTTGTAATTATTTAGGAAGAAATATGAGAAATTTTTTTTTTTAAAGATCATGTGTAGATTTTCAGCCAGATTATTTTCATTAACATCATCATCATTATCATCTTCATTATTGTTACGTTTGCAACCAAAATTCCGATATAATAATCAAAGATTTTTATTATCAACAATATCAAACGATAATCGTATGTGTCATAATAATATCAATCAACATCTGATTCAATCGTGATCGATTAAATAAATTTTCATTAGAATATCGTTATCGTGATCATAAATGGACCAAATATTATTCATTATATGGACGTATTGCGTTTGTAACTTTATCAATATATTCATCATATGAATTATATTTCAAACGAAAATGGTTACTATTTGCCAAAGAAAACAGTCAAAACAATTTAAAAATTATTCCAGGTTTACCAGTTGACGGATTACCTGTTTATTCATTAGCTGATGTGGCCAAACATAATGATCCAACAACCGATTTAGGTGTATGGATCGTATATAAAGCTGGTGTATATGATGTAACACCGTTCTTGACTGAACATCCAGGTGGTGATAATATTTTGCTTGGTGCCGGTAATTCTGTTGAACCATTTTGGAAAGTATGTTAATGTATTGTTTTTATTTTTCTAACTCTTACCTCTTTTTTGTTTTCTAATGAATTATCATAGGTTTATAGTCAACATCATACGCAACAGGTTTATGAAATTCTTGAATCATATCGAATTGGTAATCTTCGAAAAGAAGATCGCTTAAAACCGGATAAAAATGCTGATGATTTATTTGAATTTATTCCTGAACGTGATCAATCATTATTGATACATCATGATAAACCTTTTAATGCTGAAACACCCGGTGAAATATTAATACAAAATTTTCATACACCAAAGTAGTTTTTTTTGTGGCTATTTATTTGATCAATGAGATCAATTTATTTTATTTTCTTTCTTTATTTGTATTTTGTATAGTGAAAAATTTTTCATACGTAATCATCTTTCAGTTCCACGTGTTGATGCTGATGATTATATTCTTGAAATTGAAGGTTATGGTTTGAATGATACATTTGAATTTAATTTGGAACAATTGAAAACATTGTTTCCAAAACATACTGTAACCAGTGTTATACAATGTGGTGGTAATCGACGTGATGATCTAAATAAGGTAAAACAAGTAAAAGGAATTGGATGGAAATTAGGTGCAATCGGTAATACTCGATGGAGTGGTGCTAAATTAATCGATGTATTACATTATTGTCAAGCTAAGCTTGATCATCCATCAATTAAACATGTACAATTTGAAGGATTAGATTTGGATGCTACTTCTGCACCTTATGGTGCTAGTGTACCAGCTGATAAAGCTTTAGATCCGAATGCTGAATTTATATTAGCATATGAAATGAATGGTGAACCATTGCCTGCTGATCATGGTTTTCCTGTTCGATTAATTGCACCAGGTATTGTTGGTGCACGAAATGTTAAATGGCTTAGTAGAATTATTTTGAGCGATGATGAATCAACATCACATTGGCAACGTAATGATTATAAAAGTTTTCCATCAGATAAAACACAAGCCACTCCAGAAGAATTTGCTCATGCATATGCTATTCAAGAGATGCCAATTCAATCGGCTATTTGTTTACCAAAACCGGATGAACAAGTGAAAATTGTTTGGAAAGAATTTGATGGTCGAATGCAACCAGTCATTGAAGCATCAGGTTATGCATGGAGTGGTGGTGGACGATCAGTAATACGTGTTGATTTATCAATAGATAATGGCCATACATGGCATGTAGCAAATCTTGAACAAGAAACACCAACCAAAGGTTCAACACATACATATTCATGGACATTATGGCAAATAGATTTACCATTAAAAAATGAACAATTATTTCAAGGTAATCAAATACAAATTATATGTCGTGCATTTGATTCAAGTCACAATACACAACCATCAAAAAGTGAAGAAATTTGGAATTTTCGTGGACTTTTAAATAATTCATGGCATCGTGTTAATATCATTATCGATTAAACAAACAACAAAAAACAAATTTTATTCATTCGTAAAAACCAATTAGGAAAATTTTCAAAAAAAAAACATTTGTTATTATTTCTTTAAAATATTATTCGTTAAATTTCTGTATCCAAGTCAATAGATGTCGGTAATGTTTTTGATGAAAAGCATGAAATAAAAAAAAATTCAAATTCAAAGCCGGCATTTTTTTTTTTTTGATTTAATTTCAATTCTAAATTATAATTAATTTGTTTCATTCAAATTTTATTTATTTACAATTTATAATAAGAAAAATATAATAAATTTAAAATTAGTTACCAAAAATTTTATTTTACAAATTGTTTTTCAATTCATTTGATTGTGGATAAATTTCCTAAAGATTTTTGATTTCAATCACATTCCCCTTCACTCCACAAAAGAAAGAAATTATAGAAAAAAACATTAGTTTTATTATAATTTCTTCAAAAACACACATACACACACACAGTTAAACGATGTAAATACCTTCGTGATGTTTTGTATAAAATAACGGGGAAAAAAATAAAAGAATTTTCAGAGAATGTAAAAGACTTTTTTCCCTTATTTCATGGATGAATTCTTTGAACATTTTTCAGGTTTATTTGTTTTTTCTTTTTCGTTATCTTTTTCCTTTTCCTCATCATCATCATGGTTTTCATTAAGAATTTTTTTCTTTTTTTTTCATAAATAAATTCTGATTTCAACATTTTTTTTTTCTTTGATTCGGTTTTCATCATCAATATCATTTTCATTCTTGATTTTTTTTTTTGTTTTTTGTTTCTCTCTCCTCCTGTTTTCTTCTTTCTTCTTCTTCTTCGTTGAAAAAAGATTCAATAATAATAATAATAATGATCCATTTCATTTTATTTCAACTATTAGCTAATGTATGTTATATAAATAAGAAGAGAAGAAGAGAAAAACCCGAATATTCTTTAATTTTTTTTTTTTTTGATTCTTTTGAAAAAAAACTCAAAAACCGTGGAAAGAAAAACTAAAGTAAAGTAAAGTACCCAAAATGGGAAAGAAAAAAAAACATTTTGGATCAGGCGCTGTTAGACAAAAAAAAATCCCATTACACACATATATATGAATGGGTAAAGTATATATCTTGTGTATGAATCTTGTTCTCGCAAATACGTTCTTCGATGTTTTAAACGAATCGGGTAAACTTTCTAACAATAACCGAAGCGAATAAAAACCGAAAAAAAATCTCTTTCATTTTTATTTATTTATATTCTTCTTTCTTTCCTTCTTTTATTTTTCATTTTTACTCTATCTTTTTATAACGCGCACCGGGCCAGAAAAAAAAATGTAGCCATACACATACACATATATTCATCGTTTGCTATTACCGATTTGTCGTCATCATCATCGTCGTCGTCGTCGTCGTTTATGGCCAATTCGGTTATTCATTCATTCATTCATTCATTCATATTCGTTTAATTGGATATGTCGGTATTTTAATTCTTTCGTTGTTGCTTTTATCAATTGACCCATCTGTTATATGTTAAATATTTTTTCGTTTTTTGTTTTTTTGATTTCCTTCCACTGTTGTGAAAACGGTTATTTAGTGATTACAAAGAAAAATTTAATTTACCACTTTTTGATTTGAATTTTTTTTTTGGTGTTTGTTTGTTTGTTTCAAGTGTGTGAGTGTTTCTGTTTCTCTTTGGTTAAATTTAATAATTTTCCCGTTGATTTTTGTTTTCGAAATTCTACCTTTTTTTTGCTCTGTTTGATTTGTGGCGCCATCATTTTTTCGTTGTGTGTGTGATATTCAAATATTGTGACCAAAAGAAAAGAAAAACCAAAAAATCACAGAATAACCAGAATAACCAAAATAAACTGAATTACAACAACAACAACAACAACAACATTATCTGTGTTTATTTTTTTTTCATTATAGGTAGGTGTTGAAAATTTTTTCCAAAACAACAGGTATTATCATCATCATCATTTGAATGTTTTTTTTTCACTTTTTTGCTTCAGGGTCTTCTTCAGGGAAGATAACCTGGATATGTTTTTTTTTTTCTTCACCATCAATTCCGTTCATTTTTACTTTCATATCATAATAGGTGATAGGTTTATTTATGCTTGAATATTATCATTTTTTCTTTACGGAACCGGAAACATTTATATGATAACATTCTATACAAAACATACATAACCCAAATCTTCGACCAAACATAGATATTTGTAAATAAAGTATTATCAGGTTATATCAATAGGAAAAAAAGATTTCTTTTTTGACATTTCCTATGTTTGATTTGTTGTTGTTGTTGTTGTTTCAAATTCTGTGTCAAAGTAACAACAAAAAAAAAAGTTTTGCATGTAAAATCAATTCTCTCTCTCTCTATCTGTCTGTTATCTGTATGTTACAATCATCTGATAGATACTGTGTGTGTGTGTGCAAATTTTGTAAAAAACTTTGATAAATTCAAATGAATTGAAAATTTTTTGAAAGGTAAAAATTTTTTTTGCTTGTTTGAAAAAGAATCCAAAAGTGATGATAATGTTATCCAATTTTAATACAAACAAGAATCGTATTTTGGTATCATCATCATCATCATTCATGACATCAACAACAACAACAACAATCACCTATTTCCTGAATTCATTTGAATCAATGTTTCTCTTTCTTTCTCTCTCACTCTTCCAAGAACTGAGTTCAATTTTTTTTTCTTCGCTTGATAATTTTGTAAAATGTTTCCATTTTTCAGCAACAGAAAAATCCCAAACTAACGAATTTCCATTCCAAAGTAAACAAATAATAATAATAATAAGGAAATGCATGCATCAAACACTATCCAAAAAAATCATTATCAACGAATGTAAAATTATTTATGTAATTTGAATATCTATCAGGTTTGGGTTTTGGTTTTGTTTAATGTTTATTTTTTTTCTCGAGATGATCTTTGTTTACAAATTTTCTTCCACACTTTTAAAATGAATGACCAAAAAATGTAAAAAAATGTTGCTGATGATGATGATGATAAAGTAAAACAAAAATTGAAAATTGAAAATTCGTGCCTGCCGTGCTAAATATGGATTTGGATGATGCTTACTTTTGTTGTTGTTGTTGTTGATTGACATGAACAATATATATCCATATAATGCATAATCATCATCATCATCATCAACATTGATTGATTCATTAAAGATTCAAAATATTTTATTCTTCAAAATAACGATGATGATGATGATATCTTTGCATCAATGATGATGATTTGAAAGAATCAATCCATTTATCTAAACAAACAAACAAACAAACAAGGCAAAAGAAGAAGAAGGAAAAATGAAATGAAATGAAACGAAAGAAGCTTTTTTTGGTTGTTGATATTCTTTATGTTCGTTACATTATTTATTATCCGATGATGTTTGATTTTGGGTTGTTTTTCGTCTGTTCAAAGTATAAGAAATATTCAATAAAAGTAGCAAAAAAAAAATTCTTTACAAACATTATCAAACATCATCATCATCATCATTGAAAATAGATGAATTCTTCGGCAATCGATTTGATTATTCAATTGCCATTTCAATCATCATCATCATCATCATCAATCTGACATATTGATTTGGATTTCAATTTTTTTTTCGTTCGTTTGTTTGTTTGTTTGTTTGTTTGTTTGATTGAATAAATAAAATATAGAAATCGAAATCGATTTTTATTAATACACACAACACACACACTTTTCACTGAATTTATTGATCACTTTTTCTTGTTGTTTTCATCATCATCATCATCATCATCATCATAAATATATAAACAGATGTGAAAATTTTGATAACTATGATTTTGTAACAAAATACGATAAACAACAACAACAACCAAACAACCAAACAACAACAACATTGCCCTGGTTTAGTTTAGTTTAGTTTTCATCATTTGTTTAGATTCTATATCCGTGTTGTGTGTGTGTGTGTTGAAAGATGTTGAACATAGCCACAAAAACAGAAAAACGAATCAGAATTTTTTTGATAAATGATCAAGATATATTCAAAACTACAAAACAACAAACGAATTAAAATTCAAAATTTTTTCTTAATTTTCCTTCCGTAGATTTGTCGCCTTAGAATGATCATCATCATGATTTTGATCGATTTGTTTACCGATAATGATGATGATCGATTTCAAATTTGATTGAAAAAATATCTTGATGAAAAATTTCTACCAACACCACCAATCATAATGGATTTACATACACACACACACACACATCAGTCAAGTGTATAGCTTATGTAATCTATCAATTGTTTTTAGGTTTTTTGTTGAAAAGATTTATTTTATTTTCATGGTTGATTGGTTATGCAAAAGCAAAAAAAAATTATCATCATCATCATCAGGCAGCAGCATATGTATACAACCAACCAACCAACCAACTAACACATACAGAATCATCTCGGGAATGTTTTTGTTTTTTAGAATCCCGGTAAAATAAAATGAAAAATTCCATTCATTGAATGTAAAGAGGGGAAAAAATGAATGGGAGAATTTTTTGTTTGTTTTTTTGTTTTTTTTGTTGAGAAAATCGATTCAATTGATTGTGATTATATAATAATAATAATATGAATTTCTATCCATCCTCATTCAATTTTACGGTGGATTGCCAAAAACCCGAAAAAAACAACAAAAATCCAATATATAAAACAAATAATCGGATCTGTACTGTTATTTATGAAAAACCCGAGAGACTGAATATAAATGAATGATGGAACAACCAAAACAAAAAAAAATTATTCATTCAAAATCATTTGAGCTGAAAATTGTTGTCCAACAACAAAACAAAAAAGAGCGCGAAAAAAAAGCAAAGAATTTTTTTTTTTGAAAGTCAAATTGACTTGTCGTTTGATGCAAAAACAAACAAAAACGAAAATAATTTGCACTGATTTTCATTCATTCATTTAGGTTTCGAATGTAATTCGATAGTCATTTCAAATGGATTAAAGTTTTTTGCTCTCTTTCTCTTCGTTTTTTTCCGGTTCATTCCCAACCAGAGAGAGAAAAAAAATGATTT